ATCCTATCTAATAAAGAGGGAATATGCAAATTGACCACCACGCCATCACAAAGATGGCTGCACCCACAGTGGAGGCCAAGTTCCTATAATGAGCCTTAACGAGCAATCAGCAGAGACCTGAGGCTGTGTGGTGCTGGGCCGGGGCAGGGGACCTGAGCCCGTGCCCCCCACCAGGTGGGGCTTGATGGGAGCCCTGAGACTTCGCCCCCTGCCCGATGGGGCTTGACAGGGGACCTCAAGGTGCACGCCCTGCCCCAGCCCAGGCTGGGGGACCTCAGGCTGTGCCCCCTGCCCGGCAGAGCTTGATGGGGGGCCTCAGGCTGTGCCCCCTGCCCAGCAGGGCTTGATGGGGAACCTCAGGCCATGCCACCCGCCCAGCGGGGCTTGACAAGGGTGGGGCCGGCCAGGTCTGGATCTTGCCCAGTGAGGGTGGGGCCAGCTGGGTCTGGGTCTCACGTGATTTTGAGGCACCGCAGGTGGGCGGGGAATTGACTTTGGGTCACGCAGTGTGCCCCAGACTCTGAGAGAAGGAAGATTTTCATATACATTTTACTAATTTTCTTTCATCTCTGACACTTCTATTATAGAGAAAGGGCAAATAGCAATATTAAAATATTTCCTCTAATTAATCCCCTTTTAATGTGCATGAATTTCATGCACTGGGCCACTAGTATGTATATATGTATATATATTTGTGGAGTTTTTTTTTTTACTTCAGATAAATAATGAGGCCTAGGAGAAGCTCTTTTCTTTTTCATCAAAAATATTCCTACTTTTACTAATCGAGTAGATCAACTATTTTTAAAACTATAAAAAACACAATAGGATTTCTCCTGAAGGAAACAGCATGCTTTGAACTCAATGAAAAATACAAAATGGATCTCTGATGAACTCGACAGCATTATTATGGCAAGAGAAAGGCAATCATTGTTCTGCTTTTTGGGCGGCTGCCAAGTTGGAAACACTGGTAGGTGCTCTCAGCTGCAGGGCAGGGCCTGCTGGGCGACAGACACTCCAGCGACCTCTGGGAAATACTGTGTTTGGGCTCTGAGTCCCGGGTGACTGGCCTGGGGACCAGGGCTGACTTTTGTCCTGCACATTGTCTTTTGCTTGACCTCCCTCTCCCGTGTTTTTTTCCATCGTTGACATTGAATTTGAGATTATTAGGTACTTAGAGGCTGATTTTTATAGTTAAATATTTATCCCCTTTCTATTTTCACTGTTCCCTTCAGATTTACAAAAGTTTGGTCCTAGCCATGTGTTTCCTTAGCTATCATACTGAGACGAAAGCATTTCGTAACTTAGCAAAGCCTGAATTGTCGCTTTTTAAGAAAAGAAAAACATGGGTTTTGTTTAGCATGAAGTGTCTGTGATTAGTTTGACAGAAGGGACGGTCAGTCTTATCAATGTCAAATCAATGTAAGAAAATGAAGGAAGAAAGAAACTTTCACCATCCCCCTTTTTTCCTTAGCCCCTTTCTCCTTTCCCAGCCCTAATCAAATAGACCAAGTGGGAGACCGAGAATGATACTTAGAAAGGCACAGGAGAGAAAACCATGTTTGCTATAGGTCTTCGGCGTAGCATGCTGGCTTCCTCTTGGAACCTCACATCTCCCAGCTACAAAACGAGGGTCCCGGTAGGAAGACCCCTTTTGTTCCTACACATGCTTTTCCTTACAGAAGATGCAATGTCCAGACCACATACACACCCAGCACTCGGCTATCGGGAATTCTTAGGAAGCTGAAAGTGCTGGGGAGTCTGGACTCCGAGTTGCCCATTTCCTGTGGCGAACGCATTCCATTTCCCTTGCAGGAAATTGGGGGTGAGAGCTCTGCCAAGAGACCATCTCCCCAGGGAGGCAGGTGAGCACAGCCCTGTTAGTACCCGATAATGAGATACCAGAAAACAAAGTGAAAGTCGTTTAAAATTGGTGGGACTCAAAAAAGACATTTACAGAGGTAGCACTAAATCGAGTATCTTCACGCTGCTCTTACCTGGCCTTTCTATTGAGAAAACGACTGTCCCCTTGGTTTTCAACCCTTAGGCCTTCCCCATTTTGCACTAGAAATAGAAATGGTGGGGCCAGAACAAGTCCCTTGGGAGCCCCAGTCTCACTTCCTTCTTCAGGGAGGCCAGACAGAGTGGCTGTCAGTCTGTCCTCTGTGGCTGGTGGACAGACATATTGTCTAGACCCCTCCCTCTGGCCATATTCTCAAAGGAAACCCCGGAGCACAAACTTCTTTGACTCACAATACAAAACATCCTGCTCTGTCAGCTGTACCCGCCTCCCCCCCCAATGCTGGTGCACACATATTTTCTAACTTCTCAGAACTTCGTAATTGTTGCTACTATGTCACCTTGAGAAAAGCCCATTTCCCTATCTTTTCTGGTTATTCCTCTAGCATTTTCTTTTCCCTACCTGCTCCAGGGCAGGGTGTCAGTGGCTATTTAGATTTTTGCCTCAAGTCTTGTGGAATTGTTTAGCATCTGCAGAAGCTCGTGGTGTTCTGGTTTTCTCCCTTCCCATGGCTACATTGTCCTCTTGTCACACTCAGGGCGGGGCCATCTCTACTGAGAAGGCAGAGCTGCTACAGGATTTGGCTTCAGCTCCTTTTTCTCCCTAAGTTTGTTCTTGTGAATTTTCACTCATGCATGACTCTGACCTTTCTCATGCCAAGATGTTTTTCTTCCATAATGTTTTCATTTGCTTCTCTTCCTTTTGCCACTTTGTATACATTTTTTCAAAGCTCCTTCATCAAATAAACTATCTCAACCTCAGAAGTGACCACATGATCACATTTCTTTATTTTTTTTTCAATTCTAAAAATAGCACGCTTCCTACTTTGATTTATATTGCTTTTTAAACACTATCTCAACCTCAGAAGTGACCACATGATCACATTTCCTCATTTTTTTTTTCAATTCTAAAAATAGCATGCTTTCTACTTTGATTTATATTGCTTTTTAAACTTTGAGTTTTATTTATATGTGCACATTCTTTGGGAATGTGTTGTCACTCTTTGAGTTGCAAGTGACAGAAATGCAACTCGAAGTTGCTTCAACAGACACCAGCACTTACTGAGTCACAGAATTAAGATGTTCAAGGATGGACTCCAAATAAAGCTGGATCCAAAGTTGGAACAATATTTTCGGGACTTTTTCTTGGCAAGTCATCTCTCTGTGGGGAGACCAGCCATCCCTGTTTGCCCAGGTCTGAGGGTGGGTCCTGGGAATGGGTCTTTCAGGAATGTCAGACTGGGCAGGTTGGCCACCCTGTCTCTCTGCCTCTGTCCCTGAAGGTCTCATTGCAGCAGGTTCTCCCACAGGGTGTCGGAAATGGCCAGAAGTAGCTTCAGCTGTTAGGTTCTGACCGCGGGCACTTCTGGGGGAAAGGGAAGTCTTTTCCCTGAGAGTTTTAGCAATAGCTCGGGGGAGTCCTCGGGTTTGTTAGGCTGGGTCCAGATCCCTATCCCTAAATAAATCAGGGGGATGAAGCATGCCGGCCAGCCTTTCTTGGGCGGCTTTCTCACACTAGAGCTAGAGGTCAGGGGCAGGCTCGGTGGGGAATGACTAGCTCAGTGATGGCGAACCTATGACACGCGTGTCAGAGGTGACACGCGAACTCATTTTTTTGGTTGATTTTTCTTTAAATGGCATTTAAATATATAAAATAAATATCAAAAATATAAATCTTTGTTTTACTATGGTTGCAAATATCAAAAAATTTCTATATGTGACACGGCACCAGAGTTAAGTTAGGGTTTTTCAAAATGCTGACACGCCGAGCTCAAAAGGTTCGCTATCACTGAACTAGCTACTTAGGGTGATGCTGGGCAGACAGCAACACAGCGCGCTGCACCATGGTTCCCTGTCCTGCAGACAGAGCTGTCCTGACCATCTGCACACATCAGAGGGGCAAGATTTAATGCAGCGATTTTCCATCTTTTCACCTCATGGCACATACACTAATTACTAAAATTCTGCGGCACACCAAAAAATATTATATATTTTGCCGATCTGACCAAAAAATAGGTATAATTTTGATTTATTCACAACAGACGGCT